CCCTGTGTGTGTGAGTTGAAAAGATTAGCTGCTTTCTATTAAAAACAAAGGGAAAAGTGACATGAAAGAAACCATGTGCACACAGACATTTTACTGATGTCTTTTACTTTGTCATTTTGAAAGGATATTTAAAGGTAGCCATTGAACACATTTTCCCACTCTTCGCAGCAGAACTAAATCAGAACTAAATAGATAGAATTAGTGACACATCCCACTCTTCGCAGCAGAACTAAATCACTGTATCACTAATTCTATCTAACATTTTAAACAACAGTATGCCTTTATGACTAGTTGAACAAGTCATTAAGTGGAAAAAAGGGTTAATTAAGGGGAATTTTTAAAAAATATTATTTGCTGTGAAATTCTTGGAATTGCTGAGCATAATTATGAAAAGAGATGCTGACAGAAAAGTCACTGTAAAACAATAATTACGTTTGACTGGTGACTGTCTTTGTGATAGAGAACAGAGAATTTCATTATGATGTGAGTGACAGACACACAGTGAACATAGACTGAGGAAATAGATTTTTACTGAAGGATAATTACCCGCTGTTTTGTCATAAATTCATTATTATGTCTTTTGAATTTTTGTATTTTTAAGCTGCTTTTTACAGAACTCAGCCGCGTTCTATAATCTATGATTTATGTTGTTTTAATATTTGCCTAACTGAATGAGTCAAAACATTATTTGACATATTATGCAATAATAACTTCATGTCACACAGTTAGTGCATATTTCTTGTTATTTGTTCATCGATTGGTGGGTAAATGTAATTGAAACGTTATGAAGCCTGAAACAAAATGTATCAAGGCTGTCTAAATGTTTCCAAACAGCAGAGAAACAATCAGGTAAAATACACTACACACATCTCTGACTAAAGTGAGAACTTTGTGAATAGCTACACATATTTCATAAGTAAAAAATGACCTTGAAATAAATCTCAACATGTTTCTGAAATTCTAAGGAAAATTTGATTATAATAATCATTTGAATTGGGGCTTCAGTATGAATATTTAAATAGCACTGACTCGCCAATATATTGAATTAATTATACTGTGAAACAAAACCTATTGTCCTTATTAACTTGATTTTTATGTCCAATGCGGAGAAAATTTTATTATCATTATAGTATTTTAGTGTATTTGATTTTTTTTTTGGTTCATTTATTCATGGCCAACTGTTTAATCCATTTTTATTTCAACTGTTGGGATAAAATGGAGATGTTCTAAGGTATATATGTAGGGCTGAAAACAAAATAAGATGAAGCAGAAGAGATTCTCATGAAATTGAATATTTTTTAAAAATCCAAATATATGACTCCAAATATATAACTTTAACTCTCTGTAAGTATTTATCATGTTTGAGCGTTTCTGTGTGTCCTCACACGAGCCTGCAGTGGAGAAATACATTTGCAGTTATATTTGTCAGTGACTGCCACACCCAAAGGCCTACACACTCAAACACACTCAGCCACGGGGTCAGTGCTGAAACCCAAGAAGCTGCAGCTCGGTGTGCGATGGTAACTGCTGCATCTTCACATTCTACTCTGCAGAGACTAAATACACAGCTCGTTGCCTTCAAGGCCTGCACGTACAGCGAAGGATGAGCCGACATTCGGCCGGGAAACAATCAAATTACTGAAGTTCCGTCAAACTTTGACGTGGTTCTGTTATAAAAATTTGCACCAACACTTGGTAAAATCTGCCTGTAATAGACACTGCAGTCAGCGCAGGGAGATAATGTGCATCTGTGTCTGTGATGTTTTCCGAATGACATGTCTGCCTGCTGTAATTGCTCTGTTCATTTAGATGTCGGAGTTATCGCTTCCTCTCCTGTATGTAGACACAGAGCGTGCACAGACCTCCAGGCAGCAGAAAAAAAAAAGAAAAAAATCCATGTATATAAAACACATAAGATGTGAGAGTCAGAGCTCAGGGCCATTATTAGAACAACACAGAAGCTGTAAGATAAAGGAGAAGGTGGTTTTCCCTCCTCTCCCTTTATCTTACAGCTGCTGTTCCATCAAAAAAGGCTGGAATATGATTATTGGTCTATTTTTATAGTAATATGGTGAATAAGGTACCTTTCTCGCTCGCCTGTCTTATTCATATTGAGTTTATGTATTTAAAAGCATCTTCAACAATAGTTCCTCTCTCCTGAAGAAAGAAATAAGGAACATAGAAAGCCATGAAAAAAAATGAAATTATAAGAATGTTTAATGATCATTAATTCCATAACATCTGGATTCCTGTAAGAACACGTTAGTTTCCTTAATTTCTCGATGGGAACTCCAGAGACCTAGTTTCTGGCTTAAAACAGCAGCCGATGATATTAACCGACAATTTTAGGAAGTAAGGAGTGTGTGGAAAAGAAGAAAAATAATTGTACAGGTGATAACTGTGAGATGTGTGAAATTATTTTTAAACCCAATAGTAAAATGTTCATCTGACTTATTTTACTTAAAAAATATGCATTTTAGTGAGCACGCTCAAACCAGCAGCAATACAGCAAGAGAAAACAGTAAATGCATAAGGTACTACCTTAATCTTTAGATTTTTGTATTTAATTGTTCACTTATTTATATTAATTTTTCAACTCATCTAAACTTTCTCAAATATGTAATCTGTATATGAGTGGTTCATACCTATGTGAATAAATAAGAATGCAAATACATCCACAATAAAAGAAAAAGAAAATTGACCCCGCCTTTTTCTGAGCCACATCTTAACATTATGGCTGAATTCATTTCCTTCTTTGCAGCCAAGTTGTAATGTAGTTATTTTATTTTTTACCATAATTACACAGCGGCAGAAGGAAACAAGCCACTGTGGGAATAGAAAACTGATCTTAATGATCTCTTCAGACCAGGTGAACTCAGTCCAGGGGGGGGGGGGGGGGGGTACATTAGCTAAACTCCATCATCATCTACGATCTCCATGACAACCTCTTAACACATTGACCCTCTCCTCACCACCAGGACCTCTGTCATCCACAGTCAGCCTCCCGGGGCCTGTGACTGAGCTAATATGGCTGCTGCGGAGCAACCTGTGAGACAGAGATTACCAGCCACTCCTGTCCTCTCCTTAATTCCTCCAGCCCCAAGGGTTAAAGCAGCAAAATCTGAGGCAGCGTCTCACTCTCTCTCACATCCAGACAATAAAAACACTCCATCTCCTTTAGTGGCAGAGTTAAGTAACTCTTCACCTTCTGGCACTGACTTCAACTGGATCTACAGCGTTATAAAGCCAACAAATCCGTTGAGTCCACCAGCATCAAGACTGTGGCGCGAGAAAACTGGTCTCTTCTTCATTCTAGAAAAATCCCTGAACGGCTGGTATAAACCAGTTTAGGGCCAACATTGCTGAGCTGAGTTTAGACGTGAAGCTGTTCATGCCTGTGAATAAGAGGATGATTGTGTGCTCCAGGAATGTGTAGCAGCAGAAACAATGACATATTCAATTGTACAGCAGAAACATCCACAACTTAAAAAATCCAGCAATTTTTAACACACGGTCTTATTCAAGGTCATCAATTGCTGTCAGGGGGAAACACTTGGTCAACGTAGCCTGTTTCATACCACAATTAGGGAGTAAAACAGTGCCGGTGGGTTTGTGCTGTGTTTTTAGTTTACTAATTGCTCAAAATATCCTTGCAAATGCTCTGAATAATAAAAACGCTGCGTAAAGGAAGCCGCCATCTTCTTCTTGATGTTTCACTTCATCACATACAGTAATGTCTTGTAAAGAACTGGTTCATGTTGCATCACAGTTGTAATAATATTTTGAGGCGGCACACCTTATTTTATCTTCTTTTTCCATTCATCTTGATATCCATGAACAAAATGAATACCAAGCCTCTGATACGTCACGCCCTTTTCTTGTATGTAGTTTGTGCCACAGATGTAAGTATTCACATCCACAGTGAAGCCTATTTGGTGCAACTAAGCTAAAAGAAAAGTCAATTCGAGGTGTGGCATTGTACGAGGCCTCGGCTCGGTAATAGACAGAGGCAGTTTCAGTGCAAAAAGTAGAAAGTTGGTATAAATAATTTCACCAATGCCTTGTAACGTCAATTATCCAAGGTTAACGTTTCACCAATCTCTCTGATGCCAACCCTGAGTTAACCTTGAGTGGCAACATAGTGAAAAAGCTAACATCTGCAACAGCAAGATACCAGTTTCTACAGGAATAAACTGAATTACCCGCTAAGTATTACACTAAAGAGATGTTACTGTTTCCAGGTTCATTTCCAAAATGAACCAAGTGTGAAACAAAAAAAGAAAAAGAGAAACCCATCGTATATGAAAAATAACAAGCTTGAGTTTTTGAGTATCACTTATGGGGTAAAAAAAATCCTCCGTTTATCTTCCATCTGCAGGCTGTAGTCTATACAGACTGACATACAGTCTTACAGTATATACAGTCTAAAGTCCTGCCTCAGTAGAACCAAATGTGACAATGCTATGATTTGACCCAAGAAGGTAGAATATACCAGAATAAAAAAACAAGCTTCAAGGCCTTAAAGCATTTTTGTCTCCGGAGCTCAAACATCATATGAAATTTATTCCACAAAATTAATTTTGCTATACAGTTGTTCATATTTACCGACAAAGGCACTACTCATTCTCTCACTTTCATGTTGTATTATTTTATAAATCATTTATACTACACAGAGGAACAAAGCGAGAGCTTCGTACACAGATGCTGAAAAACCTGATATCCGTCTATTGATGCTGCAGGGATTTTTTTTTTTCCGTTACAGCACTTTAACATCTACATTTGGACTGGAGAGAGACTCGTACGTCAAAAATATACATTTACTACACATCCTATACTTCTATGTCAGGATCGTGTAGTGTCTGTTATAATAGGTGTTAAATAAATGTGAGTGTGTTAAATGTAGCCTCTGGGCCCTGCATTTGATAGCACGTATATTTAGATGGATTTTTTTTTTTCTATGTGTGTGTGTGTGCGTGTGTGTGTGTGTGTGTGTAACTTACCCCCAGCTGTCCCTGAGGTTTAAACATGCTCTGACAGTGCTGGTGCTTCTCAGCCTCTCGCTCCTCTCTAGCCTTCATCTACAGTACGGTCACTGTCACTCAAAAAACTCTCTCACTGTCTCCAAACTCACTGCTTTTCTAAACTAACACTTCTGTCTCTCAACCTTTTCCCTCTTTTACCTCTGTCTTTTTACATTAGCTTGTAACATCATCTTAACAACCTCTGCCTTCTCTTTTACTTTCAACCCATCTTTCTTCTCTCTCTCTCTCTCTCCTCCTCCTCCTCCTCCTCCTCATCCTCCTTGCCGTCACCCTCAGCAGCACTCCAGGAGCTTGGTAGTGCTGTCTCTCAGCTGGCACAGAGAACAGGCAGACACATGGGAGGGCTGTTTTGTAATCCGGCAGGTCATACCACCCTGGCACAGGGAAGGGGGGGAGGGAGACGGGGGCTGCTGATAGGATGCGAGGCAGGCTGGTGGGAGGGACGGGAAGGGAGTATGGACTGAGCAGTGCCTATATGACCACATTCCAATCTATACCTTTGTCGCATCCCTGCGTCTGCAAGCTGATGGTCTCTCCCTCTTTTCCCATCGAGGACGGGAGGTCTAGCCTCCTCGCTGCATCCTCGTTTTACATTGAGGCTTTCCAGGAAGGATGAGGAAAGAAAGGAGAGGAAAAAGAGAGGAAGAAGAAGAGAGGAGGACTTCAAGTTAGGGAATAAAAAACTACAGTGGCAGTAGGTGGCTGTGGAATGACACGTAGTAGTAGTTGTTTTTAAAGACAACTGAGAAGAGGATGTGAACCCAGACAAATGCTTTCTACAAGTACATCACAAAGGGACTGCTTGTGAATCATGAGCGATTAACATAAAATAAATTAATATATAATAAAATTGAAAGCCTATAAAATTGGTGGACTATGTATAAAATGTGTTCACTTTATACAAGTTTATATATTTTTAATGTTTTCAATGAAGGCAGATCACTTTAACCTGGTCAGTTGAACAGTAGCTGCCGAGCCAAAAAAAGTGTGGATACCCGTCTCTACTTATGGTTAAGAGATGCAACACTTTTGCTAATCACTCAATAAGAAACAAAATGTAAAAATACAAATACTGTCTCTTTCAAAATATTAAAGAGCGTTTAGTACAAAAATATCAAAGACTGCTGAAAATGTGTCAAAATACCAGCTAAAAGGTAAATAAGAAAGAGCAGAAAAAGCCAAAAAATAGAACATTTAACATTTGCTCAGAACAGATAAATGTCAGCATATGCTTTGGTTATGACAGTTTCTATGATCCAGCCTTAAACAGCAGTATAAATGCAAAGTACTCTGTTAATAATCTGGAACCTAACTATGCCAGTGCCAATCGAAGGACCACTGCCTATTTAAATGTGTCCTTAAAGTAGCAGCAGCTCTTCAGAAATCTACATGTGGTCAAATGTTAGCAAAGCCATAAAGCATTAAGCTGTGTAATTCATTACTATCACTATTATATACAGTTTCTGCTACCATTAGTACCATATACTGCTATTACACATGCTTGCTATGACAACCCAATTTTCCTTCAGAGATGAATAAAGTCATCTATCTGTCCATCTCATGTTTTGTGCATCTCTCCACATTTTTCTCATTATTATGTAAAAATGTACGTTGATGAGGCCATTAGCCGGCAGTAAACCCACTCCCCTGCCTGTGTTATGGTTACTTAATAAGATAGCTGCTATACAACTTAGCCATTAGAACAATGCTAATGGGAAAAAGAGAAAAGAGCAGCGAGACGTGGAAACATTGTGCTAACAGTAATGACAGAGCAGCTGATGGTGGGCTGTTTGTGTCTCCGTCTCATATTCACCATTTGTGGCTTTTATGTAAAAATGAATATGCCATTAAAATGGTTTGATAGGCTTCACTGTGTTTGTGTCTTAGAAATGAGCACTAAAGACCTTCACTGTCAGTCTAGAAAGAGACGAGAGAATACTGTCTTACAAATTACAAACCCTTTAGCTTAATCAAACTTGTTTAAATACTTTACGCCCAGGGGTAGCTATAGAACAATATATAGATAAAAGGTAGTACAAAATACACCAAAGCGGAAAGCAGCTCATGGCTAATTTAAGGTTAGCCTAGAAATGAAGTTATCTATAAGGTATCTTAGTGTTAATCTGCAACAGTTGTCCATAAACTGTTCAAGAACATCGCATAAATAACAGGTTTATATTTTGACCAAAAAAAAAGAGGTATAATTGCAAATGGCTAGTCTGCAAAATGCAAAAATATTCTTAAAAAAAACCTCAGGTTAATCCAGAAATAACTACTGCAGATAATTAACATAGCGAAGTTAGCCGAGATGCTATTAAATGGTAATTGCAGTTAGCTAACTGCAAGTCAAGTAAAAGAAGTTAAATTATCAGTTGATTTTAAGACATTTGTCTAGTTTGACTTTTGGGACAACAAACAGATAATACTGTAACATCAACACATTGAGATGTGTTAGGTTTTTGCCGTCCTCCATTCATAATGGTTCATAGCTGAAATCTCAAAGTGTTACGTATTGATGTGCACAAAGGGAGAAACTGAAAATAAGATAATTACAGAAAGAAATTAAGGCTGATTAGTGCTATTCATCAAGGTTGAGTAACCCAGAGAGAGGCTGAGTCATACAGGATACACAGAAGGAGGAAAACCAACAGAGTCTTCAGAAAGCTGATGTTACCATCGTAATGGTAAAATATTATGGGTGAAATAGACATCTTCATCTCTGTGTAGGTTGTTACCCTAAAAATACTAAAAGGTACAAGCTGTAAGAAGAGAGGGAGAAAAAAAAGTGAAAATTCCTTTCTTGGCCTGAATCGTGTCAATCCCACTCTGCTCTACTGTGTAATGTATATTAAAGATGAAATAAAGCCAACAGTAGGGCGTCTTTACCCTGCCTTTTTGTTGATCAGCCAATAGGGGGCAACCTCACTGACATGTAACTCAAACTTAAAAATATGTCTATTTATTCATCTTGAATAAGTTACAGTTAAACTGAGAGTCATCTAAGCCATTTAAGTTATAAATTACATATTTTATAAATTATATTTTATAAATTATATCATATAATTCTTAAAAAAATAACTACAATTAACTACAAATACTAAGAGCAGCTTTTGGATTGTCATTAAGGTAATATAAAACAGAACTATTACAGTGTCCAGTAAAATATTACTCCTCCATAAAAACAACCTTTCAACAATGCATTTAAAAATGTTATATGAATCAACCGTGTTTTATTGGTTGCGGTACTAAATTACTCTTGTACGATGCTGTGAAGTAAAGAAAAACAGCCTGACTAAGAGCAGATTCTGTGGGTTGGATTTAATGGTCAGCTGATGTAGGTGATGGGTGCCATTGGCTTTGCACAAGATCATTTAAGTATTGGAAACATCTTCTTTCAAATGTGCTTTATGACTGTTGTGAAAACCACAGGAATGAATAAATGATCGTTGCTGGAAGTGCAGCAGCACAGACCGCAGCTACAGCGTGACCGCAGCAGTGGTATGATGGTAAAGGTAGTAATGTATATGGTGTATGACAGGATATGATACATATTTATACCATTCTTTTTTTGCATTACACTGGGCCTCGACAGACATCATATTACATTACATTTCATTAAGTTACTCAAATTATACATTAGTTGATATAAAGTATTTATTTGTTTTTTTAAAGAGAACAATCAGATAACCCATAGACTGCACAAACCCACAGTAGCTGTTCTGCAGTACACCTAGGGGCCACAAACCTGCTGTTATAGATCTCTGACCTAAATGTTTTCCCTCCTCCCTGTGGAAACATTTTCCACCAAGTTACAGGATGAGATTTATATAAAACAGTGCTGTACCAGCACACTTGGATTATAGAACAGGGCTTTTTAATTGTGCATTTAGCTACAGTCACAAGCCAGAGAAGGGAGCATGAATACCAAACAGTGGAAAACACAGAAACACTGCAAAGATTGACACAGAAGTGAACACTCTGTACAACAAAGTGGTGTAAACCTCCAAACCAGGGTGGCTGTGACCATAACATCCCCACAAAGCTGCAGATGGACTGTTCCTGCATGTCTGAGTCTCCACTGTCATTAATACGACAGATGCCTGCCACCAACCCTCCACTTGTGATGTCCATTACCTTCTTTCACACTGGTGAGTCAGACTCTCCCCCTCTCTCACCTGCACCTGCTGTTTCTCTCTCTCTCCTCTGTCGCCATCTAAAAACACCAACCTCTTCATCTAGGTGCTGATCAGTGCAGCTGTCATAAGACATTTTGGCACTGTCACCGTTATCAACGTCATCATCATCATCACCACCAGTAACAGAAGCAGCATCATCTATGAGTCAGCCTGGTCAGCATGTCAACACACTGGAGAACAATAATATGGTCAGTTTTGATTCTGTTGTAATTAAATATCTGTAGGACTTCACTTTACTGAGAGGACAATTAGGTTCTGTTCAAAGGGAGCAACAGGATCAGATTTGTCCTCATGCACTCATCTCTTGTGTTTAACATGAATGTAGCCCACTGGGATGAGGTTCCATTTAACACTTTTTACATTCACTTTTAATAATGACATAAACTACCAAATATTTGTTCTTTTTTCAATTTTTGGCATTTTGCCAAATATTTGTTCTTTTTTCAATTTTTTGACATTATGGCAAACCATACATACTGAGTAACACAACTAAGCCTCCAAAGAACAGGTTTTGATGGGTATCGGTACAAAACAACCTAAAGTAAAGAGCATATAGAGCAGTGGAAGACTCTAATACCACAGTTTGTAAAAGTCATTCAGTGTCACCTGCTGTGGGAGCCAATCCCAGCGGACCACAGTCAAATTAGTTCACCTCATTTCTAATCTTCACGTCCTTTAACTGTGGCAGGAATTGAAAGAACGTGGATGAACTCACACACACAGAACAAATACAGCTCACATGGAAAAAGCCAAGATGGCACTCGGTGACCTTCCCACTGTGAGGCATGAGCGCTATCCACTTCACCACGAGCTGGTCATAAAATTGAGTGTGACTGTATTAAAATCTACTTGAAGCTGTCGCTGATGGAGTTCAGGAGTCTTAGAACAGGCAGATGAAATGAAGAACTAATTCTGCAGTAATGACTAAACATCAAAGCAGGGTTAGCAGGTAAATGAAGCAGGAAACAGAGCAAGCGGCAAGACAAGCACATAACAAAACAATTCCACACTGACTGAACAAATCTCTGAATTCAAATACAAACTAATTAAAAGGGGAATAAGCTGCAAGTGCAGAGATGATGAACGGAGACTGGAGTAGGAAAAACTGTGGGACTGTAGGAAGGAAGGGAGGGAGGGAGGAGTGGACAACGAAAGAAAGAAAACAGGAATGAGTAAATGGGAAGAAAAGTAAATGGAAGAAAGAAGGTAGAACTGTAGGGAAGAAGGGACAGAATTAAATAAAAGACAAAAGGTAGGATGAAAAGAAAAGAAAAGTAGTAGTAAGGAGAGGAAGTAAAGAAAGAAGGGAGATAAATGAGGAAACTAAGGAAAGAAGAACAACAGGTAGCAAAGGACATTTATAGGAGGGAGGAAGCATGGTCCTAGCATATACTGTAGACTGCAGCAAAAATGGTACATCAACACGTGTGTGGTTTTTTAGTTCTGTACATGTTCGTGTGTGTGCTTGTTAAGCAGGCAGAACCCATGTTAATTAAACAAGTCCAAACTTAAATCATGCTGAAAACCCAACAGGAAACAGGAAGTCTTAACTCAGGGAAAACTGGCCATGGAGGAAGAGAGGCGGAGGAAAAGAACAATAAGTACTAGGAACAGACCTGCAGTACTGGAACCACGACAATGTCACAGGAACAACAATCACAAAAGGGGTGGGGGTGTTGAGGGAGAGGGGGAGAGAGAAAGAGAGAGGTGTACTTACCCAGGGCACCAGGTGAGAGGAGTGAGACTAATGAGCAGGGAGTCACAGGACCCAGGTGAGGATGATGAATCCAATGAACCCAGGAGACACAGACAGAGACACAGACACATTTGACTTGATCTACAAAACAATATTTTTCACTTTTATACTGTCTTGAAACAACAGCTCATACTGAATGGTGGACTTCCCATCTTGACCTTCTGTGTGCAGTCTATGGAGGTGTTTCCCATCAGGTGCAGTTT